CACCCAGAGTTGCTTTGTGAGATGAGCGGCTATATAAATGTGATGTATAAATAAATAAATAAATAGATTAGTTAGTTAGCTAGTTAGTTAGCTAGTTAGTTAGTTACCCTGACTGGCAGCACTCCTGGCTCTATGGCTGAATTTCTAACCTTGCCTCTGTCTTCCCCAGCTCTGTCCTAGGAAAGTTCAGGATTGAACCATCTAATCTATAGTCCTTCATTAAACTGCAATATTAGCAAATATGGGGAACTGATACCTTGGGCTTGCCATAAAGATACAAAATTCAGTAACAATGATAAATTAGGCAAAGAGTTTTTATGTTCATATTGCATTCCCTACAGAGTCCCCATTTTATATTCAATCTACCTAAAATACAAGGACAATTTCCCTTCTGACTAATTTATTTTGGGTTTTTCCTCTAGCGACTGCACCGCGCTCTAAACAACTCATTTACGGAAGACAAGCACCAGCTTAAAACAAAGCCAGTTGAAAAGAAGTAAGAAAAATGAGTTTTTAATCTCGTTTGCAGATGCATCTGTAGATAAGGATTCCCCAGACGTGTTTTTTGTTTTGTTTTAAAGGAAAAAAGTATTGCACAATGCAGTCATGCATTGTAAAAAAGTGCAAAGTCTTATGTATTTTGGGATCAAGAGAGTCTCCTATCAGAAGGATCCACTTCACCTATATGACCTTCCCTGAAATAATAGTTCCTCTCCCATTGACTGACTTCCTATGGTCTAACACATAGTATTCAGGCAGCAACTCTTTTTCTATTTGAGACCATAGTCCTTTAGAAATAATGTGTTAGGGGCTGCAGAGTGGTCAGGGCATCATGACAGGTAGGTGAAGACACCATTCTCTCTCTGATACCCCCATTTCCCTCTGATAGCCTCCTCTCCCCAGAGGAGCAGGAGAAGAGAGTGGAAGGTCAGACAGCTCTTACTAGTGGTCTGAACTTTTCCTTAGCACTTCATAAAGTACTTTATAAAGACAGGGCATCTATTATATATCAGGGCGTCATCTCAAAAGAGGCACGTTCATACCTTTTCATGCAAGACGGAAACCCTGGATTAACCATTAAGCAAAATAAGCAGGTGCTTCAGGCACCATAGAGTTTCCCCCCCTAGCTATCATGACCTTAATTCTTTCACTGCCACACTGAACTTTAGGTGTTTTTTTTTTTTTTGGTAATTGGCCTTATCTGCCGTTTGACTTTAATCTGCATGGCTAACTATTTTATTAAAAATGCATTGAAAAGCTTTGAAAATCTGCATTTTTTTTCTCTTGCCCTAGTTAGAAGTAAATAATCTGCTTATATTGCTTACTGCTATTTAGTGTGAAATCAATAAACAACTTTTTAGAAGTTATATTTAATATAGTTGTGGGGTCTGGCCTGGGGGATGGCCTGGAAGGAAACTGCATTTTTTATCTCTTTTAATCTTCAGCACTTATCGAATCTTAATGTCTTGTCTGTTAAGCAATGGAAGGGCCAAGGGGCACCATAGTTGGGCTGTGCTTAGGGCATCAGTTGGCCTTAATCTGGCCCTGGAAGACAACCTGGCTTTTCTAAACTAGAAGTACTTATTCCAAAAACTAAAGTCTGTTGCCTGCTTAACGAAGGCATTTATTTAATCAGAAGAACAGAGGGAGAGCGCTGCTGGCTCAGACCAAAGGCTATTTTACTTCAGCAAGGCCTTTGCAGATGGTCAGCCAGATATTCCTGAAAAGCTCACAAGCAGGACGTGAGGACCACAGCCTCCCGTGTTTTAATTGAAGATGACATAATGTGGGAGGCAGGTTTTCTTCTGCTGATAAGGCAGCTGGCTAGGATGCTTTGCATTCATCCGTGATAGACTAGGAAAAGATCAGAATGCAGGTGAACCGCAAGGCCTTGTTGAAATAGCGTTTTGTAGGTGTTCACAGGTCAGGTTCCACACAGTTCAGAAAAGCAAAAAAGAGAAGATGCAGTTTGATTTTTGCCCCAGAGACTCTTTTTGGAATGTAACCAATTTCAAACAACCTTCAAACATAGGGTTCAGTCGGGACAAAGCTAGTTGGCTGGTTGAGTTGTGTTGCAACAGCTATGTTTAGAAAACTCCAAGGTCTATTATACCTCTGTTAGCATTTCTATGCATAAGAGTTATACAAATGGGTCAGTTCTTTTTAGCCATAAACATGAAAGATGTACAGTACATGAAATCAAAAGATGGACCCCAAAGTCAGCACAATGCTGTCCAGCTTCAAGCTATTTTGAATATACATTTCTTTCTTGCCTCTTCCAAGCCAGGTTGCAATTTATCTGATATTTTCACCTAGGACAGTGCCACTGTGTTGCTTACTCCATTACCGAACTTCTTTCTAAAGCCAATTCACAAGCTGACTCTGCAACACTGCTTCAGATTTGACAGATGTGCTTTTAGCTTCCTCATACTCTTTATGACACAAGTAATACCATTCGTGCCTGCCTGTATTTTGCTAAAGATCCCGCTTTGTTGGTTTTTCCGATGTCCCCTGTAATAAGCTAGGCTGACCATAAAGCAATTTTTAGAAATCTGACAGAACTAAACTCCTAGATGAATGTGACTTTCAAATGGTTTTTGATAAATAAAAGGGAAATATTCTATTTGAAATGTTGGGGCCAAGAACCCTTTAGAAAGAAGGGCTGAGCACCAGCATGGAAATAACTCAGCCATATTGTATTTCTACGGTGAATTCCTACCCAGCCTACCCGGGGTCAAGTTGCCAAACCACAGATATAGTGATAACAAATCACTGCAGTTAAACAGTGTAAAGAATGACCCTCTGCTCCTCAATAACTCTGATCTGTGCTTTTAGATCATTGTTGTATAGAAATGAGGAATGCTGAAACAACATTACAGTCCCTGAGAAACACAACCAATGTGTTTTCTTCAATCATACACTTTTCAGAAAGCTGTTTTTTCCTCAATAACATACATGTAGAGTTGCACTGTTTTTTAAAACATCCAAAATAAAAAGACAACATTCTCTATATAGAGAAAAAGATCACATGGGATGTAGCTTTTTGAAAAAAAATGCTTGAAACCCTGCCTCACCCCAGCCTAGCCACAAAATAGGAGTTGAGGAATCTATGGCTTTCCAGATATCATGTGCAATTTCCAGCTGACCCCACTGATGAAGATATAGCTGATCGACCTATGGAAGGCCAGTTTCCACCAAGATTCATTCTAGTTCAGTGTTTCTGCCATTCTTCTTGCTCATCCTTGCAAATTAAAACTTGGCCGAGAAGGCCAGATTCTCTGTAATTTAGTCTCATGCACCAGTTCCTGGAAAGACAAAGAACAAAGGTATGGGGCCTTAGCCTCCATAAGCTGGTAGCAGACTTCTTGTAAGCATCTGAAGAGCCATAATTGTAAATCAAGATGCTGGGCTATCTGGTGTTTTTGTCCAGTCAGAAGGATTATTCATGAAGCAGCAATAGGTTTATTATTGTTTTGTTGTTTGGTCAGCCTGAAGATGTGCTGGACCTCAGTTGGCAGACAGGGCTGGATCCAATTAGAAAAGCTCACAAGCAATCCAAAACCACAACACAGTAAAGAAATGAAGCTAGAGGAGAAGCTGGAGTGATGGCTCTAGGAAGAGTCATAACTGGAAGAGTAATCTGGGGTTCATGCGTGGTTTCTTTTCTTAGTGTACCTCACTATGTAAATACAAATATATGATGAGCTCCTAATTCCTTGTGTGAACATCTTTCTGCAGGTCCAGTCCCAGGAACAGTCAGGTTTCAGTATGGAACACTGCTAGCCCTGGCAACTGCCACAGAAGAAAATATATCTGCAGTGTTGAAAAACCAAGTGAAGTGATGCTCAAACAGCTGCAGCACGATATAGCTCTTCCCCCCTTGAAAAGAGACTCTCCAGGGTTGCTGACTACCAACGGGAAAGCAGATGCTGTGAACACTGCTAGGACCTCAGTGATCCAGGAGCTCTCAGAACTGGAGAAGCAGATCGAAGTGATCAAGCAGGAACTGCAGTTAGCCATGAGCAGAAAACTGGAGCTGGAGGAATTTCAGAGGACAAATAGGACTGTGGAGCTTTGAGGGGTTCGCCCTCGTTCCACATCAGACTATAATAATTTGTATGACACCCTCACCTTTGGGTTTTGTTTTTGTTTTTGTGTAATGCCAAGAAGTGACACAACACTCAGTAAGCAATAGGCCTACAGTCTATAGTAGCTCCTGCCTTCCTGCAAAATCAACACTGGCAAAAGATGGCCGCATTCTGGTTACCAGAGTATTTCAAAGTAGCAACAGGTCCTTCTCTGTGGGAAGTTTTAGCCTAGTAGAAAGGTTGATCTCAGGCTAAGGGAATTTGAAGCCTCCGGACCACGCAGCACCTATTTTCCTTCTCACTGCAATTAAATGAATTTTCCACTTTTTACTTTTTTTCTCTGCATTAATTAAAACAAAAGAGCAAGAGACTTTAAAAGATTATTCACAATTGTTCTTTGCATGGATTTTGCTGTTTAGAGGTTTTAAGCTTATATAGTTGTCTCTCCAACTGTGAGCTCCAAGGGCCCTGTGGGGGCTGGCCTTCTCTGTAATTTCCATCAAGCAGTTGCAAGAGGAGTACAGATGTTCCCTACAAAATCAGATGGAAAGATGAAGGCCAACAAATTAGTAAGGGTTTCAATTATACACCATTCTTAACAATCCATTATTGAAAAATGATACCACTCTTGGAGACAAATCCTCAAGATGGTTTACAAAAATTAGGGATTAAGGCAGGAGCATTTGGGACTCTGCCACTTCTGAAGGCAAACAAGGGAGTACGTGTTCTGAATGTTCATCCACATTAAAAACAAAGGAAAACTGTTTTCGGTTAAATCTTTTGCTCCAAGGCATTATGTAACTACATCTCAAACATTTTTTTATATGGAGAAGCATTCAAAATATGGCTTCCTGTTTCTAAGTTAATTAGTGAAGTCCAGCACACCAATCATTCTAACTATTCTTGATAATATGTGTAGATTGCTTCTCAGTAACAGGTACGATCTTATATTTCCTGCTGTTTCCCTTCTAAGAATTGCCAAAATAAGGTCCACCCAAATTTCTCTACTACATAAAATAACCCTACAGCCATCCTCAGCAGGTATCGTAGACTCACACTCCAATTTTGTTCAAAGGAAGTATTCACAATTCTTTCATTTTAGGTTCCAAACAGAGTGGGGCTGTATTTTTTAGGTGGCTCACTTAAAACAAAACAACCCCCCTCCCCAAAAAAGCCTAGAATTGTAAAACATTTTGCTTCAATGTGTTAAGTGCTTATAGGAAAATTTGTACTTGGCAAAGCATTCAAAATGGTTTCCTCTCTCCATCTTAATTTGTACCAGTCAAAACTCTATTAATCTTATTTTGGTTATTAGGTGTACATCAACATCAGTAGCCCAATGGAGCATTATAGGTAGACCTCACTTACCGACTGCCTCATTTAGCACCAATTCAAAGTTACAATGGAGTAAAAAAAAAAAAAAACAGCTTTGAGACCAACCCTCACATTTACAACTATTGCAGCATCCCGTGGTCACATAATTGCCATTTCTGTGCTTTGCAACTGGCTTGCGACAAGCAGAGTGAATGGAAAATGTGGAAGTAAAATCACAAGTCAGAGTCATGTGATGCTTTGCTTAAGGACCAAAGTGGAAGTGAGGTCATACATCTGTCATGGTCATATGATTTTCCACTTAGCAACTGTGGGGCTTAGCAACAGAGTTGCCAGTTCCAATGTGGACGCTAAGCAAGGACTACCTGTATATTTTTGGACAGAGTTCTGCTGTTTTCCCACTTTTTTCAGGCCAGACCCTGCCATTTTCCAGGTCCTTGCTTCAGCAAAATAATCTCCTAGCTGCCCTTAACAGGATAATTAATAATAATAATAATAATAATAATAATAATAATAATAATAATAAATGGCCTGCACTCATTTTTAAAATGTAAAAGGAGCAGTTTTAAAGCTACATGTTAAAATGGGTTTTTTAAAGGTGTTTTTCTGTTATCAAAGTCTTATTTATATATATAAATATTCCATGTCATGTTCTGGGAACCTGTCATTTTAGGCTGGTGATGGGGAAACTCTGATCCCTCATTAGCCCAAAGCTAACCCTAGTGGCTAAATGTTTTTTGAAGCTCAGTGGTATCCTTCAGTGAAGTGTGTTGTGTAAGTTGCCAGTAATGATGGCTTGCTCTCCAGTTGTTAAATGTCTGTACTTAATGCAGGTGCTATACAAGCAGTGGGTGCAACAATATATGGCGTACAACCAATTGACATATTCTGTCTCCCATTCCCCTAAATCACCCTGCCCACAGCCACACACACATCATTGTCAGTATGATCTAATTGACATGCTATTCTAAATGACATAGTCCTGGTCTCTAAAGCTGATCTCATATTATTCCAAGCAATATACTTCTCTTCTCTTCTCTTCTCTTCTCTTCTCTTCTCTTCTCCTCTCTTCCCTTCCCTTCCCCTCCCCTCCCCCTTTTTTCTTCTCTCTTCTCTCATACACTGAGGCCTCATGCATATTTATATATCAAGCTGATGATGCTCACCCTGTACGGAGGGGGGTGCTAACAAGGAATATAATTATGAAATCCAACCTAACCAGAGATCCAGAGTACATATTGCATTATTTTGATTGGCACAGGAGTAGTGACAGAAGAGGCAAATCAAAATTAACATGCACATTAGGGCCTAGTACAATTTGACAACCAGCTCGCTATCTAGTTCTCCTGCCAATCAGAAACTGAGAAAACTCAACCTATAGATATGTCACATAGATTTAGCTTTCCAAGAATGTTTCTACATCCAAGGCAATTCCTATGTGAGAATATGAACACAGACCCATAATGGAGATTTGCCCCTGCAACTTTGCCAACAGTTTTTGCCTAGCATAAATGCAGTAATCCACCAACAAAGAGTGCCGATTCATGTCGAGAGAACCTCTCTACTCACTGAGTCACTAGGTGATTCTATCCAATTAAAAAGCCCCTCTCTTTCCTCCTTTAGCATTACACTGGCATTTTCAAATATCTAACAGAAAGCCAGCACTACATACATCTTATATCTTTGTTGTAAATTAGTGAAGTCTTTCCTTGACTTCTACAATTTGCCCCTGGCCATCACCTTTTCTGGATGAAAACTCTGGTTGGGGGATATGGTGGTTTTTTGTTTTCAATAAATTTTAATACTAATTGTTCAGGCTGGTTGATTTGCATTACAGTTTGGGGCTATCTGACAAGCTGGTACAGATGACAAAATACAAGCTATCTCTGTGGAGATGAAAACGGGTTACACTTTGTTTGCCCAATATGAAGACTTTTGTTTCACCAAATAATTACCTGTAAATGTTGGGGAAGGAGAGAATCTTCTTGCATTCACAGAGATAGAAACCACTGAAAACAAATTGGTGGAGGGAGACAATCCTGCTGCAAAGCCTTGATGCTTTTAAAAACTAGCCATAACTGGGAAGCGCTGCTTGCCTAGTGAATGTTAACCTTCAGGTAACCCAACCCTAACCAGGGCTTTTCCCTCTTCAGTTATCCTCATCCACTGTTATTCTTCCCTTTAGGATACAACTGCCCCTTCCCCTTCTTCCTTATTTTTTTTTTTTCTCATTGTTTCTGCTGGAAAGGAAAATGGGAATGTTTGTGTGTATGTAGGGTATTTCTATATGTGACTATAAGTTCGTGTGTGAAAGAGCATTGTGTTATATGCAAGAAGGGATTAAGTAATGTTATTAATCGGGTATCTTATTTTACAGGGAATTACCTTTAATCAGCACATATTAATTCTATGAATACTTTTTTTTGCCCTGGCCCTGCCCTTTTTGGAGTGTAGCTTCCAGCAAAGAGAAAGAGAGATACACCCACACATACCCATACTGCATGTGCTCATACAACTGTGTCACATTCACATATTTATTAGGCATGAGGAAAACTGTTGTATTGGTTTCAGCTAGAGTTAACCACCTAATAGGGGTAGTATGTTAAATTATTTTTCTGTTGACTCTTCTTTTTGGCACAGAATAATCTAAAATGCAGGGTCAACTTCCTTTCATATACATAGGCTGATGCAAACATACTGAGAAAAAGGGTAATCACATCTCATGTAATCTAGAAATGTTAAGATTAAAGCCCCACAATAAATTCAATACATTTAAACATTCAATATAAACATAAAGCCTTAATAGCCCTTAACTTCTTCCTTCTACAGCTCTGGTCACTCCAATCCTCCCTTGCTTTTCCTGATTCCATTCCTAAGCCTTCTTTCCTCTCTTCCCCAACCTAGGACTCCTTGGCTATTTCAAAGCAGACCTCCAGCCACCTTCATTCCATTAAATACTCCAGGGCTCCATGCTGACCCAGAGACAGGAAAAAAAGATTTCAGCTTGCCAGAGACCAATCCTTTACTATAAAATGCTCTTGTCTACTCAAATTTGCTTTCATTCCAACAGATCAAAGAAATCAGCAAGGTGCTTTCAGGTGTGGAGGCAGGTGCTCATGTAATTATGGAAAATAAAAACCCTTCAAATTCATCAGAAGCAAAAACATTTACACAGAGATGATTCTCTGTGGAGTGGGCACCTCATAGCCCGCAGGTATACCCCAGCACCCTAAGACTGTGTTGCTGAAATTCAGTGGGAAAATACTCATGTTCCAATGGCTTTTTTATTGTTATGCATGCATTTATTTGCTTCTCTATCTCTACCATTAACCCTCCCTGTCCCCAACCTGAAATCACCATGCTTTGCCTAAATTTGGTGGGGAGAGTTACAAATAGGAATAAGCAAACCACTCCCATCCCCACCTTTAGCATTCCTGGGAAAAGGCCCCAAAGCGTCGCTCAGAGTCTAGGGACTTTTAGAGTTAGGAGGTTAAGGGAAGGAATATAGTTATTTATGCATTTTACAGAACTTATTAACCCATCCCAATCCCAAAGGACATACCGCATCAATAAGAAGAAAACCAGGGACATAACAATAAATGAGTCAATTGGAACAATGTCAACCCTCCCCCCAAATAATTGCAAAAAGCTAAGATAAGCCCCAAAGAAAACACAAGAAATGTGCCCACTCTGGAATCAGCTGGAATCAAAAGTATGTTGAAATGAAACTGTTTAAATCTGTTTCCAGGACTGCAGCAGGTGGGGGCTGAATGTACCTGAATGCAGTGAATGTACTACCTTGCTCCTGCCTTGTGGACCACACGAGGGGAGGGAATTTTCAGAAGGCTCCCTCTCAGTAATTAGACTAGTTGGACAGATTCTGACATATCCCAGTGTATTCCAGAATGCATATGGGAATGGGTTGCCTCCCAAAGTCAGACATTCCTATTCCCATTTGTAACCACCACCAACCCACCCAAAGTGCAAAAACATACTGGGCTCTGTTCCTTTTGTAGATCTTAGATAATAGCTCTTGAGCCCTAATATATACTTGGATATACAAACACCAAAACCCCAATCTGTCCGTACATAAGATCAACCCATAGACTCTTTCTGTTGGCAAGGACAGTGGGGGCAAAAAAAAAAAAAATCCCACAAAGCAAAAACAAGAGAGAACCATGGCGATTTATTGAAGACAATGCCCTTTGAATCTCATTTTCATAGCAAAATTGTTTCTGGAAGAGAGAACAGAAGCATCCACTAAAGCCTGTGCCACTGTTTGCCAATTCTCTGGCCAGCCAAAAGGAGGTGGCCTCCATGAAACAGCGGTCTCTAGAACCTAGTTCTGGTCCAGAATTGCCTCCTTCACTGCACAGAAAACTTTCAAAGCGAATCAGACCTAGTACATTTGAGTGTGATCCAGCTCCCAGTTGTGCAGTAGATTGGCTGCACGAAAGCAATGGCCACATACTGCCAACAGGTCCCACTTGTGCTTGAGCCTATAGTTTAAAAAATCTCCAGGCAATATGTCAAAAAGTGGCCTTTTCTCAAAACTGCATCATGCTGTAATCAGAGCCAAAGGTATGGATAAGACCAAGTATGTGTTCCTGCATTATCAGAACAGATTACATACAATGAACAGATGAAATACAGTGAAGGCCACCATTTTCTCAGTGCCTCAACTTCCAAGATGTAGTTTGTTGGCAATTCCCCCCCCATTCAGAAAACCTGAGTTACAGTTCAGTTTGAAATAGGGTTGATGCACTGCTGTCCTTCTTCAGAAACATGAATCCCTTCTGCAGACTACCACAGTCCACACGTGCAAGCAGAGACAGACATTAAATTGGGAAATGCAGTAACCAGAAAGGTTTCCTCTTTTATTCAAAACAGAGGAACAATTAGCTTAAAATTCACGAGAAAGCCCACTGAGCTATCCCAAGTCAATTTCCCAGTTTAAATGTTGCTGCCTGGTTTAGCTCCAAGCCAAGTGATATCAACCACTGATGAGTCAGGCATCAACTGATTGTCCTTGCCCCACAAGAAGTGTATTTAAGAAAACAACAAGTGAGAACTGGCTTGGGGATTGGCAGTACTTTAAAAAAAAGTCAGGAGAAAAACAAAAGAACACATACACAAAAAGAATAACCCAGGATGTTCCTTTACAAAGAAGTCAAAATATAGGAAAAGCTAGCTGGCAATGAGGAGCAGTATCCAGCCTGCTGAGGAATGGCAAGTATGGGGGTGGAGAGAAGAGGCCCTCTGGCCTTATACATCCGGACTCAACCAATGTAGATCCGATGGAAGTCATTGGCTCCAAATGCAGCATTGCATTTGGGACATTTGCGCTGCCGAGTGTCATAGCGAGTTTTCACACACTCGAAGCAGAAAACGTGGAAGCATTTGGTGAGCACGGCATCCTTCTTCCGCATGTTGCAGCAGGGGCAGGTCAGGCGAGCCTTTGAGAAAGACAGAGTAGAGTTTAGGAGCAGAGGCCAACAGACAAGTTCTCCCCTTTTAGTTTATGAGGGAAAAAACGCTTATTCTTCATCCCGGAAGGGCCAGAAGGCTCTTTCCTTCCATGAGAAAAGCTCTGCCTACCCAATATATTTCCCAAATGTGCCAGCCCCAACTCCAGCCAGACTCCCAGGCATCACTAGTAGCAATTCTTGTCTTTCTCCAAACCTACAAAGACATGCTCAAACCCATCACGCTCAAGGGTACTTCGGCATCAAATTATCTACCTTATAGTCTTTGATCTCCTCCATGAGGATCTCATCACAATTGGGAACCATGTCTGGTTTCTTGGTTGTCTCCAGTTTTCTTCGTAGCCGTGAAATGTCTTCCTGTAGGGAAATCATTAGCCCAGTAGACCTGTTATCCTCTTGCCTTTCAGATGGCAAAGAAGAATGTCAGGGTCCTGAGATTATGGAAGTAAGCCAGGCAAAACATTCATAAACACCTTTTTTGGCTTTTACCTCCCCTGCACAGTTTCACATAGATTAGAAAAATTCATAGAAGAGGGATCTATTCCAAGCTATTAACAACATAAGAAACCTGTTGTTCTTGCATTATTACTAGACTCTTGTAGGACTCTGCTGGAACTCAAATACTGAATTAAAACTAGTGTGTGAACTGTAGGAGTTCCAGTTTAGTTATTCAAAGCCAGCATTTACCACTAACAAAAGCAAAAGTGGAAATAACTGAAAGTGAGCCATATAACAGAGAGCAAGCTATCAAACTAGAGAAGCGAAAACACTGGCAGAAAACAAGAGGAAGCCATATAATCTGAATCAATGAAACTGAAAATAAAGGCAGATTGCTTGAGGTAGCTAGCCAAGCAAGGGACTGCATGCCTGTTACCTGGGCTCGTTTGAAGTTGAACATGTCCTTCTCCTTTGTTACACTATTTTCCACAATCTCATCTTGGAAGTCATGCAATTTCTTCTGAGCCAGCTCCAGCTGGGCCCGAAGGTCATCAGCTAGCTGAGCAGCATCCATAGCCTGAAAAAACAAAACAATGACAATATTTCCCCACTCCATTTTCTGATATTTACAAAATGGATGGCAGCATCCCGAAGGTTAAATCAGAAGCTCCACCTTACTGGTTGGGGAATATCTGCAGGCCTTTTTCTAGAGTGCTGTTTCTAGCTTTGCAACAACAGTGATAGACAGAGAGATAGACAGATAGGGAGGGGGTGGGCAGGCGGGCAGGCAGGCAGGCTGGCTGGCTGGCTGGCTGGCTGAACAAAGTATTTGTTTCACCCACTACAGTAGTCACTATCCCCAGTCACCACACAATGATGAACAGGGCTTTCTTGGCCTAGAACAAAACATTGATTTTAGAGCCCATTCTACTTGGAAGTTAGAGCTACATGTGCAGCAACATCAGAAGAAAATGAGGTGACTGTGCCAGCTCAGACTGCGAAAAAAAGTTGATCTGTTTCTCAAACTTATCTCTGCAGAGAATAGGGGTGAGCCTGTTCCTTTGGTTTGATGGTACTCAGCCCATTCTACCACTTCAGTCTGCAGATAAACATGAAAATATTGCTGAAACTCTGGGGGGGAAATGGAATGGGATTAAATGAAGTATGTTAGGAAAGCTAAGGGAGAAGGGAATTGGGGAGAATGATGGAGGAGAAGAGTCAGCCACAAAATATATACCAGTGCAAATACATTCTAGGTCCCATCTCCCCAGCCTCTACCAAAGGCCAGTCAGGCAACCTTTGTGCAAAGCTCTAGCCAAGGAGAAAACCTGGCACCTACCTTGTTTTCAGTCAGTGCAAATGCTTTTTTCCAATTTCCCATAGACCTTTTTAAAAATCTGCACAATGTTTTGTTCCTTCTTTAATTATTATGATTACTTCTGACTCTTCCTTCTGCAAAATTCTTTTTTATACTGTGGTGTTTTATTCTTTTTTAAATTTGATACTGACTTTTGGCTTTTTACAGGCTGCCTTGGCATCCTGATTAAGGGGGGTGGGGGAGAGTGAGGAAATAAATTCCCTTAAGATCTACCATACACAAATGAAACTCTGACAGACAAAATTCTCTCCCCAGTGATTTATAGACCCTACATCCTTCCTAAAGTAGGCTGTTCTCTGCAGGCCTCAGAGATTCCAGACTCCCTTGCTTTTGAAAATTCAGTGCTGGAAGATCTAGACTGAAGGCCAGGAGAAGAGAAGATTGGAAGAAAAAAAAAACTCGAAAAAAGGGTTCCTTCGCAAAAAACTGCACCGGTTAAACAAGACTGATCAATGCTTCTGCCTCAGCAATTGCTATCTTTGTCAGAGGTGTTAACATGTTGTCCAGAAATGGCCAGAGAGAAGAGATTAAGAATTCCTGGGCTGCGGTTCACCCAAATCCTCAGCTAGTTGCTGATCTACAGCTTAGATCAGCCAATGGGAGCTGCAGTCCATTATTATCTAAGGATTTGAGACACAAACTTTGGTTGACACAAGATTAAATTTGCATCCATATTTTTGTCTGCATATGTACTAACAACCAGTGCTACTACTGCCACAGTAACTAAAATAGCAAACTCTCTCAAGACATTATTATCAACCTCTCTTCTTCTCATGACCTTCAACCCCCTCAGCTCATTCTGCTTTCCAGTTATCCTCACAACCTCTTTCTGCTGGAAAACTTCAAACATTCTAATTACTTACATCAGGCCACCCTATTAATTTTTTTTTTTGAAGTTCAATTTTTTTCACACCCTTGCTTCTTTTTGTCCATGAAATCACCTTGTAGCATTGCTTTTTCTCCTAATTACAGAATCATCTGTGATTTCTCAGTATTTACTTAGGAGGGAGATTTATCTCATCTACCAGTCTCTCCTTATGGAGAGAAACATTCAAAAGGACTCATGCAATTGGAGTGGCTGTTTTCATTTTTGGGGCCAACCTATGTCTCTCAGGTTTTCAATAAAATTTCCTCTAACTTCTAGGAAATCTATTTGCTGCTAACATAGAGAAGTTTGCAGCTGTGAGTCTCTCCCACCCTCCCTTGGCATATATTTCAGAAATAGATATACAGATAGTCCTAGCTTAACAATCATTTATTCAACAATCATTCAAAGTTACAACACACTGAACAAATCGTAGTTACGACTGGTCCTCGAGGTTACAGCCACTGCAGTGCCCCCATGGTCCAAATTTGGGTGCTTGGAAGCCCACCCGCATTTACAACTGCAGCACATGCTTCAACTCCCATCTGCCTATCTCCGCCTTTTTGCCACCCTGCACTCTGCCACCCCTGCTGCCCCTGCCTCCATGCACTGTGCTGCCCCCTGCTGGAGTTCTGTGACAGCCAAACACACCTCGGCAGCAATGGGAGGAAGAAGATGGCAAAAGTCAGCAGGTGGTGGCAGGGATAGGCAGTGGTAGAGTACATGGTAGCCAAAAGAGCAGAGATGGGAGGAGATAGGCAGGTGGGGGGAGCTGAAGTGGAAGCAAGCATAGCAGGGTGGTGGAGTGCCAAAAGAGAACGTGCGGGGCCCAACTGGGGAGGAGGCAGCAGGACAGAGCCGGCAGTTCATGCAGGGCAAGAGAAGTATGAGGCCTAATGACAAAACCGGGATTACCAGAATAGCCATCACTAAGCAGTGCAGTCATGTGATGTTTTGCCTAATGACTGCTGCGCTTAATGATGGAAATTCCGGTCCCAATTAGGGTTGTTAAGTGAGGATTACCTGTAACTGCTTATCATTCATGGGATCAATTATAACAGCCTTCAGCCTGAATATGTGAGAATCCAAGTTCACAGCTTATAGCTGTGGAGAATGGAACTTTTTCCAGAGTTTCACTGCCTTGGAATTAATTGCATGGTCTCTACCCTACACCAGCCTTTTAAGGACAAAGCACCCTTCACCCAACTGAAGGGTTTCTAAGGGAATGGGAGTAACTTCTAGAAGGGAAATTCGAAGTGACTGCTCATTTCTATAAATGACCTGATTAAATATCTTCCAGGTGATTCTTGTTTAGCATAAGGCTGACTGACAGAAGCCAGTACAGGATGGAGCTTCATGCAGATTTTGGTCAGGTTACATCTAGGTATATCCTTGCTTAGAGAACTGTTTAAGCACAAGGAAGAGGAAGGCTGGAAAATATTTGTCACAATGCCCCTGCTCTTAATTTAATTTGCTGCATTTGTGGATCTATTCCTGTTTTTATTCTACAGCTTAGTTTGAATCCCATTACCTTGTGTTATTTTTTTAAGTCACCTGCACACGTGTAAAAAGGAAAGAAATCCTTTCCATGTAATTTTAATTTCATTTATTTTCTGACTTTCCTTCAAGTTAGTCTTCCTCCCCTAGCTCTCATCTTATATTCTTTTAAGCAACAACCCTGCAATGTTAAGTTAAACCTGAAAGCTACATGATCCAGAACGAATGCAACTCGCTTTTGTAACCACTTACTTTCCGCTTGTTCATCTCCAGGGCCTGTGTTCGTAGGCCCAGCTCTTTTTCTCCAGTGCCAATGTTGCTTTGTAGCAGATGCTCTTTCTCCTCCAGCTTACGTACAACCTGCAATTGGGCATCCACCTTCAAGAGGCAAAAACAAGGAAAAGAAAAACAGTCAGTTTAGAATTCTGCATTTGGTCTTAATGTTCTGTCTCTTAGCAAAACAGGATTGGCAACTTTAAGTAAACTGTACAGTTCTGCTTACTTGATAATGGGGGTTATGCTTTTACATATTATGAAATGAGAAATTATGTACAACCAATGGAAGTCTTCCCTCTAATGAATTCTCTTCTTCCCCCTATGTCAAGCAGACATAGCTCACATACTTCTAAGCGTCTCCTTACAGCAGGGCTACAAATTAAAAGATGCTCCAGAAATCAATTTCTACACTTAACACCATGTTCTGCATTCCAGTGATGTCAAAACGTGTGCTTAGACAATTTATTCCAGATTTAGTCCACCAAATACATTGTGACAAAACAGTCAGGCAACTACTGAAATGATGCCTCCAAAACACAAGAACTTTTTCAAATGGCTAATTTAGACTTTCATACCTATGACCCAAACCATATAACTCAATATTCTTACCTTAAGAAAGCCTTACCTAAAAATGCCCCTGATATGACTTGCATGTTTGCACTTATCAAATTGTTGCCCCCAAATCCATCCTATTTCATGTTTCCCTGTAAATGATCAAGTTTCTTTCTTATTCTTCCCAGCATTCCTCTGCAAACACTATGTCTGGGTCAAAAATCTATTACTGCTTCACAATAGGGGCATGTCTTTTTATGAACAGAACCCCCCTTTAAAAAAAATGGCTTCTGGGGGCACAAGGGGCAAGTCATTAATACAGTGATATCATTGGATGAGCAGAGTTGAAATCTGTAGCCCTTTTTTGAGTAGTTACTCAGAATAGTTGCATTAAGTGTACTGGAGGCTTAATACATCTATTTGGAGAGGTCTTTTGTTTTGTTTAAAGAGAAAAACTGTGCCACTAAAAATTTGCCACAGAATGTTGGCAGCTTGGTCTTGGGGGCCTTAAAATGGTATTGAAGGTCACTCATGGCTTACAGGTTGTCTACTCCCATGTTAAAAAGGAGATGCTGGATTACCACCAAAGTGTTCGAATAGAAAATTACAGTAAAGATGTACACAAAACATGGCCTTAAGCATTATACATCAAGATGCAGTCTCTCATTGATCACAACCGCACTTTCAAGATATGTCTTGGTCAAAGAAGTTACAATTTGGGTTCCTATCTCCCTCCTCTTCTCACTTTTCCCACTTGCCTGTGTCTTCAGGGTAAGAACCTGATCTGCCAGCTCCTCCTTTTCTTCTTTTAACAGCTTATGGATCTGGTTGGATTTGATGCGTTCTGACATGAGCTTGAAGTTGGCATCATCCTTTTCCCTCAGCTGTTGCATCAGGCGGATGTTCTGCTCTTGCATGTCTTCAAAGGCTTGGCCCGTCACATCCATTTCAGATAACAGGGCTTCTTCCTCCTGCAATTGAGTGGGAGATGATTTCCACCAGTCCTTGATACTATGACACAAGTAGGTGCATGTGTGGGCATCTGCTAGGTGGATGTCAGGCTTCCCAAGTAGACCAGATAGGAAACGCGACCAGATGAGCTAATTCTACTTTATTGTAAGGCTACATTAACAGAATCTTCCAAATCTGAAAGTATAAATCTCTTGCCATCTCTTTTACAGCCTGATACATTAGGGAGGTTCCTTTCTGAGTTTCTTTCTCTTCCCGTTATACAGCTGTGGGCTATGCCCCCTCTTATCTGATTGTTCCCTAGGCAGCATCCCTTCCCCCATCTCCCAAGGACATTCCCATATACCATTACAATGGGGATCTAAATGATGAAATTTGAGTGACATCATCATGCAAATACAGATAGTCCTCATTTAGCAACCACAAATGGGACCGGCAACTTGGTCATTAAGCAAAGTGATCGCTAACTGAAACCATGACTGTGCTTACAATCTTATTTCAGCTTTCCTTTGTTTTACAGACATGTAAACGTTGTAAATGTAAGAATTGGTTGCAAAGTTACTTTTTCATCACCGTTGTAACTGTGAACAATTGTTGTATAAGGCAGTCACTAAGCAAGGACTATCTGTACTGCAATCTATATATTTGCTCCAGACATCAGGACTCAAATACATAATAGTGGCATTTGCACGATGACATCACCATAAGCATGCCATCATTATGGCATCATCAGTTTGTGGCAGATGCCACTGGCTCTACATGGGACATTCTTTCTAGTTTTCAAATGATTCAGTCAAGATATCTGGAAAGCGATAGAAAAGATTCCACTTAGGTAAGGAATGCCAACTGACAGCCCATGCTGTAGTCATCTAATTTTAGATTATTTTAATTTTCAGGCACAGGAACTAGACTTACTCTCTGGTTCTCTTACAGCAGCTTTTCTCAACCTGGTGCCCTCCAGAACTCCTGGGGATGGGAAGTTGTAATCTCAAGACATTTGAAAGGTACCAGACTGGGAAAGCTGCCCTACAGTATTTAAAAAAACAACAACTATTGGGGGCATCTAGATTTTTTTGGTTTATTGGCATATAATTTAACTAAACCAATTAATTAATTAATTTAACTGTCTAATTTGGTATATCCTGGATTCTATTTTTTCTGATAATTATACATATAATTTACCACAAATATACATTTCCCTAGCTAAGTAGATGACATGGACATCTGATGGGGTGGTAGTAAGAAGAAAAATACTAACATTCTAAAGTCCCATTACCTCTCATCTATTCATTTAGAAGAAATCAGAGATTTAGTATCCTTGAGGAATAAGACTACCTGCTCTGCTTGCCTCTCATCATCTCATCACTACTTCTCACCTGTTTTGCCATGGCTAGTTTCTTCTGTAAGTATTCTATCTGTTCTTCCACAGCCCGGATTTTTCGAAGAGCATCTTCGTCAGCCATCTTTTTGCTCTCTTTTTTCTCCTTATCTTCCAATTCCTTCACTCTTTGCCTTAGCTCTTCCAACTGTACAAGCAGAATTGTCCAAGGATAAAAAAAAAAAAGAAATAGAAAATATATATGCAAACAGTAGAGGAGGATAGTTCAAATGATCCTAAGCTTTATTCATAATTTCTTGGAGGAAGTTCTACAAAACAGATGTTTTTCACAAAAAGATTGACAGATTTGCTAATGAGCACTAGGCAGAATGCCATCTTACAACATTTCACAGAAAAGAGGACTCTGCATCACTCCACTGAGCTGTAGTAATTGGAGCGATAGGAAGAGGAGCCACATTGCTGCTTTAATTGAAAGACCAAAAATTTGAACTGATTCCACTCCAGTCTGTGACACAAAAAGATGACGACTTGTGGCTTCTTTAGAACATTGCATCTACTTTATGTTCATTATAAGATCAGTATATTACTAAAATCCAATAACCAAATACTGTATTCTTGTTTTCCTGTTCTCTTCCCTTCTGTTTGTTCTGTGCCTTTTTAGACTGCAAGTGGAAGGCAAGTATTCTTTTTTATGGATCTGTAAGCCAAACTAGGAGCCTTTCCAACTGACAAGAAGAATATAAATGCTTGAAATACAGAATATCAAAGGATGGACTTTAAACATTCAATGGAGATTGCTTCTAAATTGACTCCAAGTTCCCCGATTGCTTTATGATGCTTTGAAAACCAGAGTCCAATGTGGGAGAGATTAGAACAGAAAAATACTTTAGACAATATCAAACATCATTACCTCAGCTTTAGCCTTCTTCTCAGCAGCCATCAGTTGAACTTTGTCTCTCTGCTCTTTGGGAGCAGAGCGGTACATATCTAACAACAACTTCATTTCTTTCTGGCTCTCTTGTGCCTTCCTGAGCACATTGGAAAATAAAACAGAATTTGGTAAGGGCAAAACTGTATAGCACTGTCTAGTTCAAAACAACAATTCAGCTCACTCTTCCCACCAGGTTAGGGCTCATTGTCCCCATGAGTGATGCTGGGGACAAAATAGAAAAAAAGTCTATTCATTTTGTTCTCTAATTGTGATGGAACAAATAAATAAATGATCTTGGCCCTAGATGGAGTCACAACTGGAAGCTGCAAGCCCATTTCTTGCTAAGTGAAAGTTCCAAGAAACTCAGTGTCTCAGAGGAGAAAAGTTGTATGGCCCACCCAAAAAAATGCTGGCTGTGAAATGGGATGGTATGGCTTACCACAACCCCTTTGCAAATGGCCTAGAAACTACAGCTTATAAAGCTGAAAGGTTATTAATTGATACTGAATGCTAGGAGCATCTCACAATGCTTCATTACTTCACTGGATTAATGTAGGCAGCCTAGAAGCAATCCCAGTTGACTTCCAGCAAATCCATCGATGCCCTCTGGCATGTAACTATCCCAACTAAATTGATATTGGCAAAGTTTAACCCACCATTAAAAATAAAACACTTTTCAAGATCTAAGAGCCAACTTTAATCCCTCTCTATTTCTTTCCTCTTTGTTTTGACACAGTAATGTGACATTGGGACCACAAAATAAAAACCACCTGCAGATTTCATAGTACAACTCCCCAAGAAAAGTATGCAGATCGACTTACTTAAGATCAGCTTTCAATTGCTTGACCAACTCAGCTTCTCTCTTCCTTCCATCATCATGTTTCCCTTTGTCCTTCTCTTTGGCAGATTCCCTCTCCTTCTCTGACTCCTTTTGTTTCTGCTTCTCCCTTTCCCTTTCTTTCTCCTTTTCCCTTTCCCTTTCTTTTTCTTTTTCCTTTTCTTTCTCCCGTTCCCGCTCCTTTTCTCGTCTTTCCCGCTCCCGTTCTTCTTCATCTCGTTTTGCTTTAGTTTCCAAGGCATCCTCAGAGGGTCCCTTGGAGGTTGCAGCATGAGAAGGATCCTCAGCTTCCTGTTTGATCTCTGGTGGTTCCTCTTTGGTGTCCTCAGTACTGGATTGGGAGTGCAGGACAGCACTGCCACTGCGGGAACGAGTCTGGAGTAGAAGAGCAATATATCAGGGATACTTCTGATATGGATCTTTAGAAAACACTTCTTGTTCTTTCCCTTCATTTTACAATGGTAGACAATACACACCAAAGCAGAGTTTTGAACATGGGGAAGGGTGGGACACTCTTTTATTCACCCAAATGTGAACATACAGAAATCACTGTATATTAGCTTTCATGCCCTGGGGAGTTGGTACACGCAAATGTTCTGTTCTGAAGATGGAATATTATGCGGAATTCTGAAATCTTATGATCCAGGCATTCTGGGGGTGGTCCAACAGTCTTCTGGAAACAACATTTTCTGAAACAGGAAGTGTTTTGTGGTGTTCTGAATATGGTCACTGTCTGACCATTCCTGGAACATTCAGAGTCACATGGTCTGAACAGTAGCAGAACCTCTCAAAGTTCCCCAGAATGTTCTTATCTCCAGAATGCAATGTTTTATGCATACCAGCTATCTAGAGCTAGTTGCTTTTCTTCCGCATTTCACTTCTATAAAAATAGCCAGAGTGGATCAATTAAATCCTTTTAAACAACTAAAACTATTTGGGCAGTAGTTTAAGAAACATTTCTAACAGGAATACAGGGATACTTATAAAATGATAAATATCAAGCACTGTCAAAAAAAAAAAAAAAACACCACAGATGCTCTCACTCATACAAACACCATCCCATATGCTCTTCAAACCTAAACTAATGCACACACATTTTTGCTTCTAGTTTTCTCTGACAATCTTTAGTTTTCTACCTCTCTTACCTTGCTCAAGTCAGACTGAGCCTCCCTCAGCTTCCGCTTATATCTCAACACCTCCCCTTTTAGCTGGTGATTGTGGTTTTGGAGACTGCTGATGAGGTGGCGCATCTCTCGATTGATGGGGCCTACACACACACACACACAAAATCATATGACAACAGATGTGTTATATTTTCTCCTCAATTTTTTCCTTAATAATCCTTCCTCACATAGACTAATTCCTAGACTATTTGTAACCAATGAAGATTTGTACTGGGGAGGAATAATACAAGCCTCCAAAACAAATGAAATGTCACCTCTCAACAACCAAAAGATCCTCTTGGACCTCTGATTTCCAGATATTGAAATGAAAGATAGTTTCAGAGTTTCATAATAATCACAAGAACGTTTCTTTAAAAGTACATTATCCAGTAGCAGGCATCCTTCAAAATGGTGCCTAGGCAGGGCTTTAGCTTCTGTGATTCTAGCAGTCCAATTACAAAAGGATCAATCCTGGAATAAAAAAAAAAACACTGCAAGAGCACACAGAAAGTGCCCCTAAAAAGCACCAGGCTAAAAGATCAGAAGTATTGTAATAAAAAAAGGGGAATCTGAATGACTCACATGCTTGGGGCTTACTTAAAAGGTCATCTAAGTTTTAAGACCAAAGGCCCTCTAATGTTAAACTACAGAGAGCTGTGTCATTGGTAAAGCTGCACAGTGCTAAAGAGATTATCTGTGCAGATCGTTTAGCAAAGTAAACAAAGCAGGATCTCTATGAAAGACCTGGTGTGAAGTACCTGCTTGTTCATTAGCTGCAAGAGTCTGTTCAAATTCAATCCGCAACATCTCGTATTCCTTGCGAACCTGAGCAAGAGTGTCTTCCAGCTGAATAACCTCTGTTCGTAATTTCTTGTGCAAGCTGACTTCATCCCGCTGGCAAGACAAAACAATGGTTACAGGTTTAATGCTGACATGATGAAGAAGGAAGTACTTTTTTTATAACCATAATGGGTATTCCCATAACAGGAATAATGCAGTTTAGTTAAAACGTAACTATAATGTGGTATTAGCTACTTTTCCATGCCCTTTTTTTTCCTAAATCCTTTCTGAGGGGTTTGGCCAGAATAGCTACTTGCTATTTATCTACTGATAGATTTTGTCTTTGCAACCTCTGTCTCATTATCCTGATGTTGACACATAGGCTTTACAGTCTGAGTTGCAAAACTTTTTTCACCATGAAGTGTCCCAGGCTAACAAGAGACACATATCACAGGAGTCTAATATTATGTTTGCTAAGCTAATAAAAGAGGTTATAGATGTGTTTCACTCAATAACAGAAGTAGAAGAGTCCAAGTATACATGACACTTTCTCTGGCAGAGAGAAAGAAGTCAATATATAAATGCTGCTCTCTACAGATGTGCTGGAACTTGGTAAGACTTACAAACCAGAAGGGGCTGCCTTGTCCATCACACCAAGTTGTGTTTATCTTTTTTTAAATAGTAATTTTATTAAAAATTAATACAAACTAAAAAAAAGAAAAGAATAAAAAGAAAAAATAGAGGGTTCAGAAAAGAAAAAAATAGAAGGAAAAAAATAAGAATATAGTAAAGAAAAAGAAAAGAAATATATAATGAAGTGACTTCCCCCT